ATCACTGGTGGAGGCCGCGGTCTTGGAATCGTCCTTGCTGGTGCCGTCATCGAAGCTGGCGGAGATGTCGTCTGCCTTGACCTCCTTCCCGAACCCAGCGCAGACGAATGGGCCTCCGTGCAGAAGTTGGCTGCTGCCCGCGGCCTGAAAGCCACATACATCAAGTGCGACATTACCGATGAACAGTCGACAGAGCAGATCCTCAAGCAAGTTGCCACCGAGGCGATGAGCCGGGGTATGCCCCTACGCGGAGCAGTGACCTGTGCTGGTATTCAACAAATGGTGCCTGCCTTGGAATACCCAGTTGATATGTGGAAGAAGATGTTGGATGTGAAGTGAGCAAACACTTCAAGTTCCAAGATGTACAATAGAAACTGACTCTTCAGCGTGATCGGAACATTTATTCCCGCGAAGCACTGCGCCCGCATCTTCAAGGAGCAGAACATCCCAGGCAGCATTGTGATGATTGCTTCCATGTCAGGTCAAATTGCCAATCGGGTTCGTTTTCGGTCCATTGATGTGTTGATCTAGACTAATGTGGTTGATAGGGATTGACCTGCACCGCATACAACTCCTCCAAAGCCGCCGTGCACCAAATGTGCCGCTCGGTGGCTCAGGAATGGGGTCAGTACGGTATCCGTGTGAACACTCTATCCGCAGGTGTATGTATCATCCACACTGGAATAATGCACGCGATTCTAATTATGCAACCAGTACATCCGCACGGCAATGACCGATGCCCTTCTTCAAGAGAAGCCTGAAGTCGAGGAGACCTGGATGCGTGGTGCGCTACTAGGCCGTCTTGGTGTCCCAGAAGATTTCAAGGCACCCACAGTATATATGCTTGCTGATGGCAGCGGGTTTATGACGGGTACAGATTTGAGAGTGGACGGTGGACATTGTGCTTCTGCTTGAATGGTTGATGATTTGGTGCATTTCAGAGGTCGGCGTTGGGATAGATACGGATATAGAATTAATGTGTTGTCTGTCACTGATTCGACGCATGAAACGATGCATGCAGGCTGGAGCTGTAGGGTGTATTACCCGATCGGGTAAGGGGAAGTGGGTTTCCCGATCAGGAAAAGATAGCCACATATCAGTCTGAAGATGGCTTGTTTGTGACTTGTAGATGATTCCAGATAGATGTGCTATGATGACAGTCAAAATCAAGTATACAATGCAGCTATTCTGCATCTCTATGAAAAAACCGTAATCGATGTGTGGATGACAAAGCAGCTGTTTCTCTTTAACGTAACCCACAATCGCGCGGCCTATACAATCACGCGGCCTGCTCCTCCCGAAACACCACCTCCAACCACCTACCTGAAGCAATTCAACCACTACAAATACTATCAAAGTCAGCTATCTTATTAAAAACTATAGCTGAGCAAGAAGGTAGAATCCTCCTTATTATTAAAATTATTCAGAAATATTAAATCATAAGTATTTATAAAATTATATATATTTTTAATATTCCTTGAACCATCCTTCGTGCTTGTTTAGCTAGACAAGGCTTTGTTAAAGATATGGTCAACACACATTAAAAATTATTAAAAAACAAAGAAGAATTACTTATTAAATAAATCTTATTTTTAGATAAGTAAGACGCACCTCTATAACTGCTTAAAGTTAAGAAAATAATTAATTTAATATTTTTTAAGTAAGATTATATAATATCCCAAGAAGTAGATATTAACTGGGCTTATAATTTTATTAAATATTATGAATCCTTCCGAACCCACTACGCAAGATAATATAACTATTAAAAAGCTAAAATAAAAGATCCTGAAGTTATAAAAGACTGGTTTAAATAGATGCAGAAAGTTATATAAGAGTACAGAATCTTACCAGATGATATATATAATTTTAATAAAATAGGGTTTATTATGGGACTGATTATTACTATTAAAATAGTAATTAGTTTCTAAAGAGTTAGTCGGCTGTCTCTAATTTAACCAGGAAACCGGAAATAGATTATTTTAATTAAATATATTTAATTTAATAAAGAGGCTTTATCTCTGATCCTGATTTTTAAAAGTAAAATATATTTTTAAATATAATATAAGGGTCAAACCGTTCCCCCTGCCTGGAGAATTAAAGTTAGTAATAATAATTAAATAATTAATATAATTAGATTTTAATAGCTTTAAAAATATTTTATTCTATTAATTAAAAGTAAGTCAGTGGGTAAATACAGTTTTCTAATTTTTAATAATTATGGTAGTTATCTGATCTCTAAATTTAACTAATATTATATTAAAAATAAGATTATTTTTATTTATATATTTTTATATTCCTTCTATTTACTTTAATCTCTGGATATTGGTTGTTTTAGTATGCTTAAATATGTATACAGCAGTTTGTGTGATAGGATCTACTTGTCAGGGTAGAAAGCCTGTCGACTAGGTAAGGAATCAACCACTAAACACCATATATTTGTTTGATAATGACAAAGGTAGCCTATATCCACGAAATAGACTGATCCTTGAGGGATCAGTAGCTCATTACAGAGGAATCGGTACCTTATAGGTGCCGGAGAGGTATGGAACCACTATCGATGACCTCACGACTCTCACAACCACTATAATACGTCATCCCGATGACTTTTATCCCAATAGCTAGGTTATTCTATCACAGTTTGATTGAATAGTAAGTATGCTATAGCTGTAATTATATTAATAAATTTAACTTTTTAAAAATCTATTTTAAGGCATACCAGCAAGCCCTAATAAGATTAAATATTATTAATAAATTTAAAGTAACAGGTCTAGTTTCTCTAAATTCTGATTAAATATTTTATTAATTAAATATTTACTTGAAAATATTACTTTCTCTGGACAGCCAGTCAAGTGACTCAGTGCTTTAAATATTATATAATATAAAGTATTTTTTGAAATATTAAAATACTGTAGAATATCTGCTTTAAAAATATTAAGTAAGTCTGATATTATCTATATACTTTATATTATAGTAATTTCTTAAGAAATGTAAGCTTGTAATAACTAATTTAATCTTACTTGCTAAGGAGAATAAGAAATTATGTGCTAATTATAAAAAATAAATATAAAAGAGAAAGTACTTAAAAAGGTAGATAATTTATATAGAAGGTATTATAGTTGAAGATATATAGTAAATTATCTAATATAATCAAGATATGGAGATTAGTAATAAAATTAAATAGATATCTTAATCTACAGAGACCCTCTTACAGGTATCTCTACAGTGCACTAATTGCTTTATTATTAGTTATAAGTGTACGCAGTGTTCTAAACCATTTAGTAATTAGTTATATAGCGTTTTGTATATAGAATTATATTGATTTAAAGGCTTTAATTTGATCATATTAGGTGTTTCGGGTAGGGGGGTGGGCCGCGCGATTGTATGGGCCGCGCGATTGTGGGTTACGTTAGTTATTCTTCGTAGCATAGAATCTAGCATTATGATCACGTGAGCCCGCGTAAGCACAGAGTCTGATTACCATGTCATGCATAATGTCAAGCATAACTTCAGTTGTTCAGTCTGAAGAAATGCTGGAGTACTCCATAGTTAATGAATACCTTAACTATCTACTGCGACTGACCTCTAAGACGTGCGCCCTTTGCATATTTCATTTTTGAACAGAGTTTTTGGGAGCAGTCAAGTCAAACAAAGCACTACGTTGAGACTGACACTAGTGAAATCATTGAGCTTGGTAAAATCAGGACCTCTTGAGATACTGGCTCACAAAGTAGGCTCAATTGTAAGATAAATCCATGCGTGCGCAATACCTTCTACTCATCAGGAACATCATCCCTACCAGTTCTGGAATCCCAGGCGATCAGAGTGATTGTTCGTTCACCTCCACTAACGAGACCTACTACGATGTCTGGAAAGCAAGGTCTCAAGCCCAAAAGCGGAGACCTCTACTATAAGCACCCCGTATGCATCCAGTCTCTGAAGTAGCTGGAATGCCTTTGGCATAATACCTCATAATGAGCGAGCCTAATGTAGCCAAGAAAGGGAGGACAGGGGCGAAGGGATGAAAGCATCCAGGGTCATCCGCGGGACCTCCCCTAATTTCCAAAATGACCTTGGCCATTCATCCCTGTCCGACATCCATTCTTGGTTATTCATTCCATGCCTGGCAAGGAATGTGTCGATAACCCGGGCAACGGGGCCTAGATCCGGGTGACAATGGGATTCTGTGTTTCTGAGCTTGTGCGACACCAGAAGGATTTGACTTAAGGGAGATTTTCTTGGGATCAGAGCTTTTCTGGGTGATGTTATCCTGGAAGTTGAAAAGGTGGGCAGTTGTTGCTTGGCATAGTCCTCTACTGTGGTATATCAACGTTGAACAGAGAAACCCGTAGAACGCGCGAATCTTGAATATTGGAATTGAACAAGATGATTTCCCATGCATTCAATATAAACTCTAATGTAAATAGTAGGCACTTATTGCAAAAAATATAGAGCATTATATGTGATGTCAGACCGTCCCGCATGAAGGCGTCTTGATGTTTATGCCGTATCACCAAGAGTAACTTTACACGAAAACCAAGATAGAACGATTCAGCTGTGGAACTAAATTCTCTTCTTTGTAGTACTAGTATTAGGAGCTATAACTCATTTTGGTCTAACGGTCCTCTAGTAGTAGAGTACTAGCAAGATTGCTTGGGGTGATTGAAAGATGCAAGTCCATCTAAAAATATATATCTCCCCTAGCATGACCTGCAATTACATATTATTGCTGTCCCACTGCTACAGGTTTGTGCTGCTACGTACACTCAATCACTAGTATTGAATAAATTCTATCTATAGCTTCCAGGAGACTATCATAACACATATGTCCATAAGCAAGCAAGTCCCACCTGGGCAGATCATTTTGATAGCTTAGAGTGGATGCTTTTCTACAAGCAGTGAATGAGTGGATGACCTGCATCCGTAGCCACGTTCCTGGCCTTAAGATTCCCCCATTCCCCCAGCAATCCAGCCTATCTACACCAATTGGGACTGCTACCATACCTCTCTAACAGCACCGCAAACCTCACATTACAAGAAATGTCATGTCGATAAGAATCTACAAGACTTCTAATCATACCTAGAGGGGCAGACTGTGGTGTACATATGTAGGTGGGACAATCCCCCTGATTTTTTGGGGATGTACAACCCCCAAGGAAGCCACCATCGGCCAACCCCTTCCAACATCCAGGTGTTGAGCCAGGGGGCGCAACCTTCGCAACCCCTCAACCATATCATTACCTCTAAAACCCCTCTCACCTATGTTATCAACACTTACCCTCTTATTTTCGTTAACTGATATCCTTCCACGGATCTAGCATCACTTGCGTCAGGAGTAACTGCATCTCTACAGCCGCATTTTACCTAAGCAGCATGAATATGACGAGTCCACTCAGCCAGTCGACAGATCATCCACTGATACAGAAAGAGAGACGCACTGCATCTGGATCCACTCCCCTCCCCACAGTCCCTGAAGCCGCGTCCATCGCATCAACTCCCGAACTACAACAAGGGGAATTCAACCCAGCTGATGGAGCAAAGCCATCCTCTCCATTCTATCGCCATGCCACACCATCACTGGCTATCGACCGACTGAAAAAGGCCGCCAAAGCGACGACGACAAGATATAGCCCCCTTGATCCCGAAGACCCGCCCACGGTTCACCGACAGCCAGTGGAATGCGCGAACCACCGTGAGTCGAAGCTCTGGGCTCAGAAGAAGCGACGCTGCGGATGGATGCAGAGACTGAGCCGCAAGCAACGCATGGCGGTCAAGGCGACAATTGCTGTCGTGACAGTTGGGACCATGGTTGCGATCGCGCTAGGGATTACTGCTGCTGTCGGAGGGGCCGTGTGGAAGTCAGACACCCAGCAGGTAGTGATTGGGGGGTAGGTGGGTGGCTGGTGATCAGTTTGGTGTGAGTTGTGGCAGCCAAGTCTGTCTCTAGGGAGTTGATGATTCTCTCCGTGATTGTTCAAGACACACAATGCGTGATTTTGGCGAACTGGAACTGCGGTACAAACAAGGCGTCATGGGCTAAGGATGATAATCAAGGGTTGGACAAGAGTTGCAAAGGGTGGGGGGTTGAGCTTCTATGTACATGTGAGTGTAATGGCAGGGAACACTTGTACATAAATTGTCATGACACACGCTTCAAGCTGTGGATACAGGTACGGCGTTGAATGGAGGACTATGATGATAGACCTTTCCCCATATTGAGAGAGGAGCAATTAATGAGGAAGCAGTTGGTGCCTGACACGGTAGATGTGGGTGCCTGGCTGCCTGAGTAAATTGACACTAAGCTAAGCGGGCAAGCTCACGTGACGCACACGAACTACAAAAAGCGGGCGGCAGCGACGATCTTTCCTCTTCTTTTTCTTTTCTCTACATACATCGAAAAGCTTTAACAGAGCCTGCCACGACCGTCGTCCAGCCTTCTCTACGGCGACGTGTTGCCTTCGGTCTACGGACTGATCGGCTCTGGAGAGTAATATTCCTTGATAGGAAGTTTGTCTCTCGTTGGGTCCTCTTCAGTGAGGGCGATGAGGGGTGAATGTCGATGACGGGATACATCTCATTTTAACACCAATGAATATGAATGCAAAATTTCAATTGATTGATGATTCAACGTACACCTGCATAAGACTTAATATCAGTAGTCGACTCTTCGAATTGAGAATTATTAGACGCCCAAGTTGTGTTAAAATGAACCTTGGATTGAAGGCAGGGAGAAAATTTGCTAGCTGCCGCGGAGGTTCTGGCATGCGGGCAGGAGTAAGCCACGCGACGCGGCGTCCGAACTGACAGCCGAACTGGCTGGCTTACAGTATTCACCTTTCCCTGAGCTGTCTGCAGGTGTCGATGGCGTAATGACCATCAAAGTAAACTAACGTTCCTCATCAGCCGGAAGGTATTAGACATCCCCAAAGCAAGCGATGGCGATCTGATGTTTTACGTGGTTCAGGCATTCCAGTCCCTTGTTTTCCGCGCGATTCATACCCCAGGAATGCTGACGGCACAATGGGATGGTGTCTCCTGCGACGACGGGAGCTGATGATGCTCTGCCCATCGGCCACAGGACCTGATCTCAACCATTCCTCAAGGCATTCTCCGGTCAAAACAATGTCCGGCGAGCTTTGTTTGTTGTACTGGTTGTAAGACGGCCGCATACCAAAGGAAATGTCCTCCGGAGGGATCGAAAATAAAAGGTGCAACAGGGTCCTATGATGCTGCAACCACGAGTTATCCAAACTGCCAAAGCCTGGTCTTTCTTTTATTCGGTCTGTCTTTGGTTACGTTCCTTCTAACTGATCTTCCCTTGGCCCATTGGCCGAAGTCATTCGTTGATCTAGATCTATTCGTCCCTGTATTCTATCCCTTTCGAAATAACTACTACGATTGTAATCTTCCGAAAACATGAAGGGACTTCAAAGCGGAATCAGCATTGCCATGCTCGCCGGCATGGCCAAGGCTACACTGATCTCGGGGGAAAGTGGCGTGGATGGTGGACAGGGGGCATCGCTGCCGATTACCAATGGCTTTAGCTCCACTGCGAATGAGGAGCATTCCGATGATCATTCGGTTGATGTCGATGCGAAGAAGAAGCTCGTGGATGAGTACGCGCACCACGGCCACCACTGGCCTAGGGAGGAAATCAACCAAAAAGGCAATGGAAATGACAACGAACATTACTACGACCCGCACATCAATGTCAAGTCGAACACAGTGACCGAGTCCCACAAGGGTGACCATTCCGTTCATGTTGACAAGAACTTGGGTGCTGTGAAAGGTGCGGCTCACAGCGGCCCACACCACCACCCTCGTTCAGAGCCTGACCTGATCAGTGGCGAAAGTGGAATTGATACAGGCAACTCTGCATCGTTGCCGGTGACAAACGGTTTCTCGTCTACTGTCAATGAGGCGCACAGCGACGACCACTCGTCTAAGATCAACAAAGACAAGACGGTTGTCGACGAGGATAAGCACCACTACCCACACGGTCACCACAGGGTACGAGACGGCAAGGACCTGATCAGCGGAGAATCAGGTATCGACACGGGCAACTCTGCATCACTGCCCATTACGAACGGATTCTCTTCCACCGTAAATGAAGCACACTCAGATGATCACTCGGCTGATATCAACAAGGATAAGACTGTCGTGAACAAAGAGCACCCAGAGCACTGGAAGCCCCCGAAGCACCCGGAGCACCACCACCGGGTACGGGGCAGCGAGGACCTCATCAAGGGGGAGTCAGGAATTGATACCGGAAATTCTGCTTCCCTGCCGATTACGAATGGATTCTCATCCTCGTATAACGAAGCAAGCAAGGACAGCCACGCAGTAGATGTCAACAAAGATGACACGGCTGTCGTCGAGCCGGAGCATCCCGAAAAGCACCACCAGCCGCACCACCACCCCCGTGGTGAGCGTGAAGAACCTACTTTGATCAATGGAGAGTCTGGCATCGATACTGGCAATTCTGCCTCACTGCCCATCACAAATGGATTCTCATCCAACTACAACGAAGCAACCGAGGATAACCACGCTGTTGATGTCAATAAGGATGACACCGCCATTGTTAAGCCGGGACACCCTGAGAAGCACAACAAGCCGCACCACCATGTTCGCGGAGACCGCGAAGAGCCCACCCTGATAAATGGAGAGTCTGGAATTGATACTGGGAATAGCGCGTCTTTGCCAATCACGAATGTGGGCAGCTCCAAGGTGAACGAGGCTACCAAGGATGACCATTCTGTGGACGTGGACAAGAAGAAGACCGTGGTCGATGACGCGCACCATGCCCACCCCGAGCACCACAAACTCCCTCACCCCCATGTTCCACGGGATCTCATCTCTGGCGAATCTGGGATCGATACTGGCAACGAAGCAATTATTCCTATCACAAACGTCTTCAGTTCTACAGACAATGAGTCCTATGACGACGATCACTCTGCGGATGTGAACGTCAAGGACACTGATGTCACAAAACAGGCCCACCCGCACCACCATCCCCATGGGCCTCGTGATCTGATTTCCGGAGAGTCTGGGATTGACACTGGGAATGAAGCAGTTATTCCAATCACGAACGCCTTCAGCTCTACTGACAATGAGTCATACAAGGACAACCATTCCGCAGATGTCAATGTCAAGGACACCGATGTTACAAGGCCTGAGCACCGGCCCCACCATCATCATGAGCGCGATTTGATAAAGGGGGAGTCAGGTATTGACACCGGTAACTCGGCTTCACTACCCTTTACGAACGTGGGGTCCAACGAAGTCAATGAAGTATCTAAGGATGATCACTCCGCAGATATCAAGGATAAAGATACTCTTATCAAGACACCCTCACACCGTCGTCCCCACCCTCATGGGCCTCGCGATCTGATCAAGGGTGAAAGCGGTATTGACACGGGAAACTCTGCTAGTCTTCCGATCACGAACAGCTTCGGATCTCAGGTGAATGAAGCAAGTAACGACGATCACTCCGTTGACGTGGACTCGAAAAACACTGCGATAAAGTACAAGCCAGAGCCCAAGCCGGTTCCGGTGCCCGTGCCCGTGCATCACCCTCACGGGCACTGGCCTCGCGATTTGATCAAGGGCGAGTCAGGAATCGACACTGGTAACTCTGCTAGTCTTCCGATTACCAATGCATTTACATCCCAGGAGAATGAGGCCAGTAAGGATGACCACTCCGTGGACGCTGACGTGAAAGACACGCTTGTCGAGAAGCCGAAGCCAGAGCCCAAGCCGGTGCCCGTCCCCGTGCCAGCCCATCATTCTAGGCCTCATCCCCATGCCCATCTCCCACGAGATCTGATCAAGGGAGAATCTGGTATCGATACTGGCAACTCCGCTACTCTTCCGATTACCAATGCATTTAGTTCCCAGTATAACGAAGCTAGCAAGGATGACCACTCAGTGGACACAGACACGAAGAACACCGTGGTGAAGGAAAAGCCAGACCCCAAGCCAGTTCCTGTGCCGGTACCTGTCCATGGCCATCCCCACCCTCATCACCCACGCGACTTGATCAAGGGAGAATCTGGCATTGACACCGGGAACTCTGCTACAATTCCAATCACTAATGTATTTAGTTCGGAGTACAATGAAGCTAGCAAGGATGACCACTCTGTGGATGCCGACATAAAGGACACGGCTGTGAAGGGGGTGCCTGTCCATCATGGCCGCCCTGACAACCACCATGCTCGTGATCTGATCAAGGGAGAATCAGGAATTGATACTGGCAACTCTGCTAGCCTCCCTATCACCAATGGGTTCTCATCCCAGGTCAATGAAGCCCACGAGGATGACCACTCCGTGGATGCAGATATCAAAGATACCGCAATTGATCGTCCCGAGCACGGACGCTTCCACGGACACCCACATGTACCCCGGGACCTGATCAAGGGCGAGTCAGGAATTGACACAGGAAACTCTGCGACCATCCCGATTACGAATGTTTTCTCATCTGAATACAACGAAGCTGATAAGGATGATCACTCCGTCGATGTGGACTCGAAGGAAACCCATGTGGACGAGCCGCACCGGCACCATCACCGCGCAGACGACAGTCTCATTCAGGGTGAATCTGGAATCGACACTGGCAACTCGGCCATTCTCCCAGTCACCAATGTATACGGCCAGGCTACCAATGAAGCTTACAGTGATGATCATTCCGTCTCCGCCAACGTGAAGGACACTGACGTGGATGCTAATCATAAGCCAACCGAACCCCACGACTCGCATGACTCTCACAAACCACATGATGAAGGAGTCGACCCCGTTGCTCACTCTGGTGAAGAAGATACGGCCAAGGATGTTGACTCAAGCTCAAGCTGCGCCTCACCAGTCGTCCACGAGATTGTCCACACTGTTACCCGCACATTGAGCGGTGGTCCAAGTCGGAACACTGGACTCGCTGAGCACGGAGGACATGGGGCTCCTGTCTTTAACGAGCCTTTCACAGGGGCTGCTGATGCTGTCGCTCAATCCACTCCTGCCTACAATGCACCTGAAGTCGCCGCAGGAGCTGCAGAGTCTACACCCTTCTACAATGCCCCAGCCCAGCCAACCGGGCCCAGCATCGAGTCTGTCCCCATGTACAACGCACCTGCCGAGTCCACGCCGGCTGCCGCCCCGTCCAACCCCATGTACAATAGCGCTGCTTCGATGGCCGACCCAACTGGTGTATCTGCTCTGTACAACTCTGAACCCTCGGAGCCGGAGCATGTACCTGACGTCGCGGCATCCTCTGCAGCACAACAGCCCGTGGCCATGAGCTCCAACGTCGCCATGGACCCTGCCCCTACTGCTCCCTTCCCCGGCAATGTGGACAGCATCGCCTCAACCATTACCATCCAAGAGGCCTCCACCTTCCACATGATCCCGGTCTACGTCCCTGCACCCACTGAAGCCTTCCGTGGAGCCGCAGACGCCAGCAGCCTCGGGGTGCCCACACCCAAGCCCAGCGGCTCTGTCGCTTCTGAGCCATCTTTCCGCTACGACCTGCCCGGACCGTCCTCTACGCCTACCCCCTCCACGAACAGCATCATGTTCACTGGCGCAGGCGCACAGGTGGCTCCGGCGCACGGCTTCTTCCCCATCGTCACAGGCTTGGTTGCCCTCCTGGCCCTGATCTTGTAAAAGCCATGCAGCAAGCAAACTACCCGTGAATCCATTGTTCCCGAGAATGTCCCATACATTTCATGTCATTCTTTTGCCTAATCATCTATCTGTTTCGGATGCCCTTCGTTCATAATCCGTGTCACTCGCTATCAGCATTAATTGAATTGCATGTACCTGTTACCTTTCTCTTTCGAATTTAATGCAACTATGCTTGATGTTCTTCCACTTTAGTCGTACACGTAGCTCAGCCTTCCATGCACTATTCACCGGCATTAAACCAGTAACTAGAACACCCCCTTGCATACACACTACTCTCACTGCATACTCCTACGTGTATGCATGTTGCAGAGCCAGCCATGTGGCATTTTACAAACTGGCGGTGTGCAGCAGCAGTAATTCTACTACGGAACGTCAAATTCGGTTCTGATGGAGTTGAATTTCTAGAGCACACGCACACACACACACACTCTCTCTCTCTCTTCACGTTTATCTACTACAATCTTGCAAGTAGTTTCCTGCCTATCAGCCAGGACTAACAACCCAGTCCAACATTGAGTATAAGTGCTCTATCTGCTTCTACGATCTGTAGATTCGAAAATGGTGGTCAGGAGAGTATCTAGAGAAGTCTCACACCAGGAAAGCAGACGTTCATTTGGTAGTAAGTCATTAGATGATTGACCGCTCAGGGCTTGATATATCCAAGTGAAATGACTTGTGAGGACCGTTTCTTCAGCCAGCCACAGTATTCGTTCACTACCTGGATTGTTCCATATTGCTTAGCGATATCATGGCATAACTAAATGATAGATCTGGGTTGACAAATTACAGCGTGCATGCGTCGGAGCTTATGGTGAGTTTCGATGGACTGCGCATTGGATGCCAGCCAGCCAGCAAGCAAAGGTACACTGTAACCGGTGTGCCTAGGTGCATATTTCAATTCGAGACCATTGTCTACGTATCAAGTTTTTGTTTGTGGTTTATCTGACTTTAGATGTGTATATTGACCTATGTCAAAGCAGATGTTCACCATCACTAGTGATTTCTATACGTTTGTTTAGGATATCTGCTATTGCTCGTCGTGCCAGCTGTAGACAGTCTTTGATCTTAGTTGTGCATAAGCTTTTTGATTGTACAACGACACGATGATATGTGCTTAATTGGCTTAATGATGCATGTCGGAGAATAATCTATCCAATTGATCTTGAGGTGATGCCAGCGAATGTTCTGATTAGAGTGCGCTAGAGAGGGGACGCGATGTGTTGTGATATATGTGATTTGTTCGTGGGGAGGGATTTCGATCATCTAACATATCACCTTCCTATGAAGCACGGGGTCGTTCAAAATGTCCATATCGGTAGTAAGAAGCCCAATCCAAGGTGCTCCTGATACTCACGCCATAGAACCGGGACACAGCAGGTTTAAGGAATGTCTGTCTGCCACTCCACCATCTAGACGGACGACTCCAGACTCGCAAGCCGACGACCGAGACGACCGAGATGACTCAGTCCCGGACGGTGGTACAGCAGCGTGGCTGATCGTGGTGGGTGGATGGTGTGCGATGTTTTCCAGTTACGGATGGCTTCATAGTAGGTTTCTGTGTGGATGCGGATGGGAAGACTGGGATATATTCAGAACAACTGACAATCAATTTGACGATAGGTATTGGCGTGTTTCAGAACTACTATCAGAATGTCATGTTTCCAGGCTATCCTGCGAGTACGATTGCGTGGATCCCTTCATTTGAAGTCTTCTTCATGCTTGCTTTGGTAAGAAAACAGTCTGCTCATGGGATCTGATGTTCAGCGTACTGATGGTGTGAGAGATATACAGGGTCCTATTGTCGGCCGGCTGAGTGATACGTTTGGACCGCGCGCAGTCATCATCGGAGGCTCATTCTTTCATATTTTTGGAGTCATGATGGCTTCTATATCAACGAAATACTATCAGATTCTCCTCGCACAGGGGGTCTGCAGTCCAATAGGTCTCTGTGCCATAGCGCAGCCAGTATTGAGTGTCATGCCCAGTTGGTTCAACAAACGGCGCGGATTGGCGTACGGGATCATCTCGTCTTCCGGAGGTATAGCGGGTATTATATTGCCAATCATGATCGATCGACTAATCCCCAAAGTCGGCTTCGGTTGGGCTATGCGGATCACTGCCTTCATGATGTTATTATTTCTTATCGTCGCTGGTCTCACTGTAAGGGAGCGCGTGCCTCCACGGCCGGAGGTTTTGAACAGAGAGGTCCTCTTGCACCCGTTTCGGGATGTGAATATGGTCGTGCTTCTTGTCGGCGGCACTTTGCTGAGCTTTGGCGTGTGGTGTCCAAGTAACTATATAGTTACGTCGTCATTGGCCGAGGGAATGCAGACCAATCTGTCACAGTACCTCGTGTCCATACAGAATGCTGGAAGGTGTGTCTCCGCCCCCTCTCCTCTCTAGTGCCAAACATATATTGATGAACGTCGTAGTCTGTTAGGGCGATTCTTTTCTGGCATTTTCGCAGATAAATTCGGCCCATACAATAGTTTTATATTTCTTACTGCCTGTTGCGGTATCCTGGTGTTGGCACTTTGGATGCCGGGTACCAGCAACTCCGCCATCATCGTTTTTGATATACTGTTTGGAATCACGTCGGGCGCCTACTACACTCTTGTCGTCGCTTTGGTAGCACCCATAGCCCCGCCTCAAGAAATAGGATACTGGGCTGGACTGAACTTTTTCTTCGCATCAATCGCGGGACTTGTAACTGGATCCATCGGAGGCGCGATCTTGGCCCATGACGACGGGTCTTACTGGGGTATGAAGGTCTATTCCGGCGTTCTCCTCCTGGTGGGAAGTGTGATTGTGCTGGGGACGCGACTGCGACTGACGGGGTTGGTACTGTGTGCCAAATGTTGAGCCCCCATCGTCCAATCTCATACACCCGAGGATGTATGTAGTATCTCACCTTGCTGTGCACGACACTGACAGGGGGATCAAGAACCTGGTCTGGTGTTATCGGTGGCCGTGTGAGATGGATGACGCATTTATTGTGACTGAAGGAGATTGCGACCGACACGAAATGGGTATTATGCATCGCTGAAATGAAAAATAAGACCATGAGCACGGAGACAGACACGGATAAGGCCTTTATGAAATCTTATCCCACGGATGGTGGTTGTTGAGGTGAAGCAGAAAGCCATTGTTCCTGGAGATGCTTTTTTGATTGGCCGGACAGGATCCCGAATGCTGAGTCAGGGAAGGCCACGGCGATGACGTTATTTGGAGTAGGGATGCTGAAGGGGCAGATCAGAAAGGCCGTCTGTGGATGGTGTACCTGTCAGAGACGGCTGTTATGCTGCATAACATGATGTGGTGGTGCCGAAAGGGCGAGTGGTGATAGTAGTATGGCAACGTATTGCGGGTACCTTGAGAACTGACGTGATTTGCCTTCGTCTCCGAATTGGACAACTAGTCGATGGAACCTTCGGCTAGATTTGGGTTGGAGTTTTCCATAGATCCTTGCATGTTTCATCATCGATTGAATGGTTTCCTGCGCTTGGGTGCACGCTGGGACCCTGCTGATATCATAACCTCATCATGGCCCAGACTCCATCCGCGCCCGGACAGTGACATCAGATGTCAGTCCAGCCCGACTCATCAGCTATATAAAGTAACTTGGCCTGGTGGTCTCTTGCCCATCCATAACAAATCCAATCAACTTTAACAATAGTTAGGTTCACCTCAATTTCTCGCAAAAACTCCACTTCCGACGCTCAAAACCACCATACTACTCAATATGTCTTCTGACCCTCACCGCGGCGGACGTCTCGAGGACATGGCTCCCGAGGGCACTCGCATTCCCAATGATGCAGGCATCATGAACACAATCCCCTCCGTTCCTCGCCCTGATCAGCGCTCCGAAGATTCTCAGTTCGATAACTACGGTATCGCTCACCCGACCTCCGCCTTTGCCGCCGACAACTCCACCGACATGCCTCGCAGCACAAGAGACATGGCTCCCTCGGGCGAAGTCATCACCGGAACCGGTGATAGTTTCCCAGCTGAAGGCGAATCCAAGAGAAACCTGATCGGTACCAACCACCCTGGAGCCAAGGGCGAGTCCAGAAACCTGAAGCACTCCAATCTCAACCGCAGTGCTTATGAGCGATTTTCCGGAGAGGACGAAGATGCTATTGGCGAGCATCAGATCAGAAACGAGTAAACGATATGCATATCTGGGATATGCTTTGACATGAGCATGATGTATTATAGATGAACGAAACGATATTTCTATCTTGTTCTATGTTTGGTCCTTTCGTAGAGTTCTTCACCGTACAATTAGCCTATGAATCCCCGGTAAATCTCGTCGAGAACATCGCGCTTGCGTTTGCGGTCTGCTCGTTCGGCTTCTTCGGCTTCATCATCCGGCTCACCCTCGGGTTCCCGTGAGGCCCAGGTGCGAATGGTTCCGTCGCCGTGGGCCGAAAACATCTCGATCCCTTCTCCTGAAGCACCGTTGCCGCGCCACGCAAGGGCGTTGATCCTCGCAGCGCTGAGCGCACTGGAGCGGCCCTGGAACTGCTGACGACCGGTCACAAGACCCGGTACGCGAAGAAGCTTGACAAAAGCCCCCTCTCGGAGTTCAAACATGAAGATCTCCCCACGGTCGTCTCTCTCATTGAAGTTTGGCCATAAGAGCGTTTCTTGCCCAGAGCTGACCACTCCGCGAGGTACAATGAGCGGTGCCCTTTCGGCGAGGTGCGAAGTTACACTGTTCCGGACACGCTGACCGAAGTGTACAAGCGTGTTCGCACCTGTCCCAGCATCCCAAACTCGAATCCGAGAGTCCTGACCAGCGGTCACCAGGTGACTACCGGTAGATGTCCACCGCACACCCGTCACGGCGCCATTATGGGATCGGGCGTGCGGCGAGAATGCTGGGCGGCTCTGGTAGGATGCTGAGGTGGATCCCGGGCGCACGAGTCCAACAGCATCATCCATGTCTAGTGCTGCGATCGCTGAATTGTGGCCTCCCCGGCGGATGTCGAAGAGAATTACTCTATTATCTGCCGACGCAGAAGCCAGGATGTGTGGCTGGTGAGGAGCCCATGATACGGACAGGACTGAGGATTCATGCCCGGGGAGACCATGTGTCGACAGACCTGAACGTAGGTCAAGTAGTCGGACCGGCTTCTCCGAGGTACCTACTGCAATGAGCAAAGGAGACGCTGGATTTGACGACAGCGAATGGGTGTACGGTGTGCAGTCTAGATTGAAAGTGTGCACAGGTGTAATAGCCGCTGGCGCTAAAGCCGAAAGCTTGAGTGTGCCATCGTACGAGGTTGTCAAAATAGTAGACGGTGTGGGATCAAATGGGTATATGGAGACGGAAGTAATGGCACGTGTATGGGCATCTTCGTGTGAGGCTCTGTTGACAGATGCCACAGACTGGTGTACATGTTTCAGATCTGAGCCTCGTGACTCTAAATCCCACAGATGAATTGAAGGATCTGCACCCCCAGAGACCATGCTGTCTACCGTTAATTGGAGCCAGGCACAGGATGAGTGTAACATACAATCGGCCGTCATAGTGATCGATGGCGAGCACATTCACTCCCGCCTTGTGAGCAAATACCTCATCATCAAAGATCAAGCCTGCATCCTCTTGACTTCCGCCTAAGAGAATGTCTCTACGTGCTGAGAAGCGAATGCCAGGCGCTGGCTCGAGCTGTTGAACAAGTCGCGTGGTTTGTGCGACATGAAAGGCCGAGGGACTTATGGACCCCAAAACCCTATTGAGAAGATACGCATTCATTCATTAGGCCAGCAGAGCTCTTCTCCGAGCTCCGTGAAGATATATCTAGACAAGGCAGAGATGTTGTTGTGATGAGTAGATGGAATGACTTGCTTTCACATGACCGCAACATTTCCCGGATAAAGGTTATACCGGAATGCCAATCACGAAGGGGAAAATCTTCCGGGGGTCGCAAAAGCAATCGAAAGTATCAACTTGCTCGCCGGCAGAGTCTCCTCCAGCTGTCCGGTCCTCCCTGGGAACAAGCTTCCTGATGCTTTCGCACGGGCGGCTCTAGCTAATCCGGGACTATGTCCTACGGCAAATCCCTTGCATTGAGCCAGAATTCCTTTGTCCGGCCTCCCACCCCCGATGTTGTCGAAGCCCAGGAACAAGATGAGTTCGGCGCCAGGCGACAGAAGCGACAAGCGACAGTTTATGATGCCGTTGCCGGTTAGTGGTCATATGGCTTGTCTCCCACTTCAGCAGGCTGACTGTGTCCAGGTCGGGTGAACCATCATGGCTTTCTGCCTTCCGCCCCATTCTCTTCCAAATACCGCGATACCGCATCTTCCAGCACTCGTCCAGTCCGCCCGGAGGAAGTTCTTTTCCGTCGACAAAACGCCCCGCAGCGCTACGAAGAAAACGATTTCTACTTTGCTCATGAGGCCCTCCCGCCCGGCTGCCCCCTACCCAGCTCCGAGCTGCTCGAGGCCATTCACGCATATTCGGCCGACTACTATGACCATGCGACGATCGACGGAGGACGGGATGATTACCAGAGCATGGACGAGACAGCGTTGATAGCCATGGGGATTCTGATGGAGGAAATGGCCAAGGAATCTCTGGGTGAAACCGGAGACATGGTGCTCGTGGAGGGAGAGGAAATTCCGACCGACGAATTACCATTAGTCCCTCAGCTTAGCCGAACTATGGGCCGCAAAAGAGCAAATACCGGCCAGAGTAGTACGATGGCGAGCTCGGGTGATGAATTAGAAAGCGTGGTGGTGAATAAGAGGCGGCCAAAGAAGCGCAAGTTGGGTCGGAAAATGACGTCTGCAGCTGAGCTGGATATGGAAGATGATGAGAGGTGGTGAGGTCTAGCAAGCTACTCAGCGGTTATTGTACCTGTGGCATGGTCTACCTTGCAAGACTACTGTTGCATCATCCATTCGGGCTCGATTCCAGTCGCATACGCCTATGGTGATCGCTCATCATTAGGGCCCCAAAACCAGCGATTGAGGACAATACGATACGCGAAGATTGATATCAACATTGCCTGACTGGATGCGCAACTGTAAGGGATCAAAGATCTCATCTTTCAGCAAGCCACTAGATTAAGCTGCATTTGGCTCGTGGGTACAGCAAGCTTGTCTCAGCTCCAGCCAGGTCCTTACTTTCGACTGTCCAATCCAGGCAGCAATAAGAAGCACCATGTCTTTGCTTCCTATACGATCAGTCACCTCGTTCAGCCCTGGTCAACATCACGAGCCAGAGCCCTATGCATGTTGCACATCGCAAATCTTAGCCCGCGATCATCGTCGACCCGGCGCCGCCAAGACCTTGGCTGTTGCATCTGCTGGAATGCCGTTGAACCTTGATTGGACTGGCCCGTCCATCTTCATGCACCCCAGGGTCAATTGCTGCTCCAACTTCTTCACCCAAGCATTCCTTGACCGTTTGAACAAAGTTTGCGGAATGCACGTTGTATCATAATATCCTGTTTCTATTCCAGATTCCTCCACAACATCTTAATAGCATCCACGAAATTCCTTACCTGTAACCTAAATATGTTTCGTACGGCATACGAGAAAGTAGCTCTGGGGTGATCAAACTGCCAGTCAGATGACATGTCATCATGTCATTTCCCGCAACAAGCCGCCATTTCTACAACCAAGGTCACCACTGCCGGATTCCACGCATCACTCCGTTAGCAGTCCGACCAGATGAGACAATCAAACAACTTGCTCAAGAGGGCTGCAAAAATGCTGATCAGTCTCCGAACTTTGCATCCTGCCGTGCAGCTCCTAACTCAACCACCGCATAACTAACTAACGATTGCCTAGGCACCCAACCGCACCTCAGGAACAGGCTACTCGTACATCAGCAAGCTAAGCTAGTTAAGCATTTAATGTCCGTCATCTTATGCACAAATATACCTTGTCCGCTTATAGTAGCTCTCCTCGGTACATCCTAACCCGCACACCGCAGTACAAAGGCAGCCCCTGCAGGTGAACCAAAGCAGACGCCGGAGAAAGCCGGCATTGACGAGATGATCCCAGCAGCACCAACTTACCCACGGACAAAAGGGAGGGAGGGAGGTAGGGAGTGGGGGATAACCCTCTCGCCCCTCCTGACCGCCGCCCATAGCCGTGTTTCATAAGCAATAGCTCACCGCGATATAGACTGGCCGTCAAAGAAAACCTTATCTTGCCTCAGAGTGTCTCAGACCCTTTTTGCTTCCCCTTCAGCCGTCTTCGCTACAACTTAGGATTCTCACTCAGCTGACGTGTGTTTTGGTCGATAATTTCCCAACAGTGGTAAGGGAAGGATGGGCATCGGCTGACACAAGCTTTTGCTTATGTCCGTGAGCTGCACGCTTGTATGGAATAGACACGCAATTACCTGATCCGTGCGTGGGTGCTTGGAAAAGATCTGCATCGGCTAGATGGATGTCCCTATTTACTGGGGGCTGTACAGTATACAGTAGTGAGAATATTGCGTGATCTGTGCGTTTTGGGTCGGTTAAGTAGGAGGTAGTAGGTAGGTTGGACGAACGGGGGGGGATTCCTGTTTAGATATGTGGACAAGGGTCTGAGATGGTCTGTTTGCTTGGGTGAAGTCTGTAGCCCCCTTTAGGCTTTATGGTATGGGATGCTTTGTTTGATGTGCCGCGTCGGTATGGTGAGGGTATTTCGATGATAGGACGGTCCCTCTGTTGTCCTCTTCCTTGTTCAAACTCTGGTGATGACACGACAGTAGCGAGGATTCAGTTCCGGCGTGTTATCTATCTATACCTTGTCACACACACACAGCCCGTTAGATAGAGATCGCCATTCGGATTGCTTGACAAGGGATCGGGGGACAGTGTCAGCAGACCTACGTATCTCTGCCTGCAAGAACAGACAGGAGAAGGCGAATTCCGGCGATGGTGTCGCGCATCGACCCAGTGCCTGTCTTGCAAGGATGAGAAGAGCGGGGTTTGTGTCCAGTAAGGGCAAAAGATTTAACAGAGTCGGGAGGAGACAGAATTAGGATATTAGAAGGCGTCTAGTTATTATCAAATGGGATGCTCCCCTGTAACTGCAGGGCATGAACCTGAATGCCAGTAGTGAAGAATACTCAGCAGCCCTACAGGGAGAACAAACAATACCGAGGCCATTATAGATGAAGTCAACCCCGTGATGCCACATGACCGGGTGGGAACTGTGCTGGAGAAGTACTCACTCACTCACCGGTCTATCCTCATCACTCAACTCCATCCATCATCCTACAGTAAGTATCTCACCAGCAGGACATTCCCCGACCCCACTAACTAATCTCGTTTATGCCTGTCAGCAAGCTCAAACAGGAAACACCTTCCCCCTCCCCTCTCCACAGGGTCCAGACATAAGCAAAAGTCCAAGACACACAGCAAGTAGTCTAGCTCTAAAGGCTACCTGCCTCACCATGGTACGTCGACGCCTCCGTCTTTTCCCCGCAACCAATGGGGCGAGTGATTGGGCACCCCATCAAGGCCACTAAGGAAGCAAGTACTACTGCTATGTGCCTTAGTGGGTGCGTTAGTCCAAGGGTGTCTGTCTGTTTGTCTTGTTTTTACGAAACAAGAAAGAAAATAAGTAAGACGGAAAAGAAATAAAGAAACAAAAAATAACTATTGTGTCGAGCTAGCCGCCTAAACTTTCTAGGAGTGCCAAACAAGCCCTGATCGTCTCACATCTGCGGGCCACGGGGACGTGCCACACCCTGAAGGATCTGGAGAAGATGATCCCATCGGTGGCCTCGATTAATGGAATGCAGGTGAAGGAGTACATTCAAGAATTGATGGATGAGGGACGGATCCGGGTCGAAAAGATTGGCAGTGGGAATTGGTATTGGTGTTTTGGGGGAGAGGAGAAGAAAGAGCGCGAGGAGCGGATCCGGAGGTTACGGAGGGAGGTGGATCGGGTCCGAGAGAGTTGGGAAGATGCGGAGGCTAGATTGTCTGCGCGGAAGCAGGCCAGAGTGCAGGAAGAGGCCGAAGAGGAGCATGGGGATGGGAATGGGAATGGGAATGGTGAGGAAGAGCGCCGGAGATTGATGGAGCGAAAGGCTGTGCTCGAGCGGGAGACACATCAACTGCAGGGGGAGTGGATGGCGTTGGCGACAAGTCCGGAGGGGAAAAGCTTACCGCAGATTAAAGAGGAGACGGAGGAGTATCGGCGACTGGCACATCAGTGGACGGATAACATCTACATCTTGGAAGGGTATGTGGATAAGGTGACCGGAGGGGATCGGGAAGTGTTGCGGATGGTGCAGCGGGAATGTTATGGGGAAGAATACGTGGAGGGGGAAGGATTGCGTGAGCTGGAGATGGAGATGTAGTAAGTAGTTCGGATCACTAATGGATGGATTGGATGTGGTTGATGCTTAGGAATGAATAGTGGTGGTGGTGGTGGTGGTGGTTGTGGTTATTAGGATGGGCCGTCATGGAACCCATCGATCCATCCGTCGGGAAGTTTGTCAGCGGCTTCTCATCACTAACTACTTAGTTTAAACTAGTACTTTGTGGTTAACTTGGTCCAGTTGAGGGGACTAATTCGTTAGTCAGTTTTATTTCCAGTTAATGCGCCACGAGTGGTAGTCAATAATGTGACTAGTCAAGGAGAGGAAAATGGGGGGAGAATAATACTCATAAGTAAAAGACGAATATTAATAATAATTATCACCACCGTGCCCTACAAGCATAGTTTCAGCTCACGGCAGGCAAACCAAAAGCCAATTCGTATAGAAAATAGAATCAGTGGAAAGTCGATTTGCTCCGAGTGGAAACCGCCGAGCCACGAACGGCCCAAGAGAAGCTTGACCTCGACCACAAGCCGGGCTGCTTATCTCCATCCCTCCATCATCTTCTTCTTTCTCCATCCATCACTCCCTCTGTCTGCTTGACTCCTCCTACTACGCCCTACTGCTGCTGACCCTTCCTCTTTCTCTCTCTCTCTCCCTCTCCCCTTTCTCCATACGGATCCATTCCTTTCTTTTCCTCTTTTCTTCTCTACTACTATTCGCGACTACTCCCTTTCATTCCGACTGCTCTTTTGTCATCCATCCTCTTACCAACCCTCCTCCCCGTGATTGACACCCTCCACACTAAATCCCGGGACTATCCATTCCTTTTCCCTTCCATCATCCATCCCCCTCTCCCCTCCCCTCCAGCATATATCCCGGTTATAGGGGCTATTCTGTCAACCCTTTGGCCGTGATCGTGGGAAATTCCAGCCGAGAAATGATGCGGGCCTGTCACCATTACTGTTGATACCTCTCCCTACTTGTCATCTTTCCCTTCGTCTCTCCCTATTTCCCTTTCCTTTCTTCGTTTTCCTTCCCCCCTCCCCCGAAGTCCGAGATTTGAGACACGATCTTCCCCGACCAAACTCCCCGCATCGTCAGCGACCAGCAAAACAAGGGGGCCCATTCATCCCACTAAAGACGCGCGCTTGGCTATTCTAGTGCTGTCTGTGCTGCGGCTGGGGTTGGAACTGGTCCTGGACCGGTCGAGAGACTGACCCTGCTGCTGTTGCTGCTGCTCCTTCTGTCGCTGCTGCCTTCGCGCCCGACGGCCACATCGGGCCGGTTTATCGGTAGATTGATCGATGGTGTCTGGACGGAGAATTTCCCAGCTGTCTCGATCGCGTTTTCGTCTCCCTTTACTCTCGAGATCTGGACGGTGTACTCTTGCTCCTCATCGACTCGCTCCCCCTTGCTTCCGCATCGACCACCACCTCTTCATCGCCATCTCGTCACTTGACTGACCGTAGTGACGCTGCTGAGCCCCGGTCCTGCCAGCCTCATTCTTCCCCTCCTTCAGTCCTCCACCCCTCCCCTGAATTCCGCCGTCAGCAGCAGCTCGTTGTCCGCCTGATTCCGACTTCCTTACTTCCGGTCGCCATTTCTCCTTCCTCCCTTCCCTCCCTCCTCGTGCATGGATTGGGTCGTGTGTCATGTCCGTCAACCCTCTCCCCTCACAACCCCCCTCGCCGCTCGGTCGGAATCGCAGCTCCCTCCTCTCCAAATTTCGCTCCCAACTCGGTCAACGAAATCGCAGCATCACCGACTTCTACATCGAACCGGACGATCCTTGGCGCTCATACTTTCCCGGGGATGTGATCAGTGGGACCGTGGTCCTTACAGTGGTACGGCCCGTTCGCATTACACATCTGGTGGTCTGTCTCCATGGCTTTGTCAAGGTCTTCAAGAATACCGTGCCCCCGGGTGAACAGGCCCCGGATTTGGGCTTTTTGGGGCCGGGGCGCGGGCGTCGCGGTGCTGAATATCTGGGAAATGGCCTGTCTACACTATTTGAAGACGAGGTCGTACTTTGCGGGGAAGGTCGGCTTAAAGAAGGAATCTACAAGTTTCGCTTTGAGATGTGCTTTCCCCCGTATGCGCTACCCAGTAGCATCAATGTGCGTGGTTCCCCTTCTGTATGGATTTTATTGGGTCATACTGATCGCAGTCGCATCTAGTTCGAACGCGGCACGATATCATATATGCTTACATCCACCCTGACCAAACCGACGACGATCAACCCGACCTCGACGTGCCGGAGACGCGTCAACGTCCTAGAAAACATTGACATCGCGCCATTCCCCCCACCTAAGCCGCGCGTCGTCACCCTCGAGCCGATTTCCCGACGGTCCAAGTCGAAGGCAAAGGCCAAGTCAGCCGGATCTGACGCGCCTGATACACTCTCCATCGATCCGTCAGCCCATGGCGGCAACAGCATCGACAACCGCCCCTCTCTGAGCCCGGCGCCCAGCAATGTCAGCTCATCCAGTCGGCGGAGCAATAGCAGTTTGAGCTTCCAGGTTCCCAGCGACCCGAGCTCATCGACGAGTACTGGGATGCGGAACAGCGAAGCCCGGAGCATCACTCCCTCCACGACGGATCGCACCATTATGGCCAAGGCAGAAGTGCTGCGCGCAGGCGTGTTGCCCGGGGATACCTTGCCGATTAATGTCACCATCAACCACTGCAAGCAGGTGCGCAGCGCGCATGGGATCATCGTGACACTGTATCGCCAGGGCCGGATTGACCTCCAACCCGCGATCCCGATGGGGAAACCCGCGGACGGCAAGAAGCCCATCTACGAAGACTACTATCCGCGCTCGCGGACCGGCTTGGGCGGCTTGACGCTTGGCAGTAGCCGCACCACCGGGGTGTTCCGCAAGGATCTGGCACAGACGTTTGCACCGCTGGTGGTGGATCCCACGAACCTCACCGCGCTGGTGAAGACCTCAATCCGGGTGCCCGAGGATACGTTTCCGACGATCACGCGCACGCCGGGGAGCATGATCAACTTCCGGTACTATGTGGAAGTGGTGGTCGACTTGCGGGGCAAGCTGACCTCGCCGGACCGGTTTCTGCCCCGGTTCAACATGGTCTCCTCGGGCGGCAACTTCTCCTCCAGCGGGCAGGTGTTGAACCCGGCAGATGTCAACAACAGCGTGATCACGGCGAATTGGGCGGGTAACATTCTGGACACTGATCAGATTCGACGTGAAAAGGGCGTGGTGGCGGTGATGTTCGAAGTGGTCATTGGGACGCGTGACTCGCAGCGCGGCGTGAAGCCACCAGAGCGCACACCTTCCACGTCCGCTCCAGTGGATCCCAATCAGCAGCCCGCTGGCCCGGACGGCGAGACATGGAATACCGACCAGTCCCCGACCCCCAACGCCGAAGGTGAATATGTGGCGCAAGAAGACTACGGCTTCCCGCGGGAACCATCCCAATGGCCTGAATACGCAGGTCAGGAGTACCCAGGCGATCCACAGGCATATCACCTTGGGGAGATGGTGTCGACGCCGCCAGCTGACGAGCCGAGCGATGAAAAGAGCCGGCTCCGGCGGGCTGAGCAGATGCTCCTGCCGAGTCGCCCGCCTGACGATGCCGGGGTTGGGCCATCTGAGATGGCGATCCCGACGGCGCCAGTGCTGCCGGAGGACGACCATCTCAACGACTACCACCACCTGCCGTCACCGACGGAGAACGGAACCCCGCGGGCGGTGATCTCTGCGGAGTCGGTGCAGACGGTCGTGCCTGGAAGCAGCGCGGCGGGCGCGAGCGGAAGCGAACCGCCAGGAGAGGATAAGCAGGAGCTTGAGCGACAGCGGTTGATGACAGAGGTCAGTGCGCCCGACGATGTGGAAGTCACGGAGGCGCCTGGCAGGTCGACGGATGCGCCGACGGCGCCGGTGTTCCACGACGATGAAGGCGACCATCAGCTGGTGGGCAGCGCGGCGCGCGGCGACGAGGCATTACCGCGATACCAGCGGTGAGAATAAAAAGGCGTTTGTCAGGATGAGTTTATTGCTTGCATTGCGGGATACCGGGAGATACCATCTACGTTGCAATGTTTGGATTTATTTGGGATTAATTATGAGCAGCCTGCGGCATTGAGGGCGTATATAATAGAGTTGCATGCATAGTGCAGTACTAACTAGAATAGTACTATTATAATGGCGGATTGGTAATGGGTAGATAACAAATAAGCAGTCAACTAAATAGATAACCAGATTAGAGGCGATTAGGCTGAGCTGACTGGAACCAACCCGGTCGCGCCAAGCCCGCTCTAACCTCCGATATCTCATCCATCTTCTCTTCCCTCTCTTCCTCTTCCTCTTCCTCAACACTTCAACCTCATCCACAACCACTCCATCCATAAACCCACGGGAATACTACCCCGTAGGCCTTCACCATGGCCTTTCGCAACGGGTCCTTTGCGACCTTCCTAATCGTCTGCCGTGAGCACCCCATACCCATTCCCCCAAACACACCCCCCATCTCACCCCCCAACCTACCTACCAATAACCCACTAACAAAATGAAATAACAATAGCAACATCCTTCTTCCTCGGCCTCATCTTCTCCCTCTTCCCCTACGACTACCCCATCCTGTGGTCCACAACCCCCACCCCCGCAACCCACTTCGACTACTTCGAATCGCACCTGCGATTCCTCCACGCCTCGCCGCCCCTAATCCCGCGAATCCTGCACATCGTCATCTTCCTGGGTCTTCTCGGCCTGATCCTGAAACTCTACAGACCCTCGGAATCGAATATGTTGTTCGACGGCGCCAGTCTCGTGCTGTATATGTGTGGAATCACGGTGTATATCGCGAATATTGTAAAGGGGTTGAGGTTGGTTAGTGGGGGCGTTTATGGGGATGAGTTGGTTAATAAGAATGCTGGTGGGGATGAGGGGGTGGATGTGGAACAAGGGCAGATTTTGAATCGCGAGGATAGTTTGAAGGTGTTGGCGGCGAGTAATACCATCCTTGCGCTGGTGTTGGTTGGTGTGCTTGTGTTGCAGGCGGGGCAGTGGTATGCGGAGAGGAAGGAGGCGCAGGAGGTGGAGAGTTTTGCTACTTCTTCGAAGAAGAGTTCTAAGGAGGGGGAGAAGAGTGAGGGTCAGGAGGGGGGGAGTAAGAAGAAGAGGAATTGATAAAGTGGTTAGGTGGTCATGTTGTCAGTTGGGGTGAAGGGGGAAATTGGTGTTGGGAAGTCAGGTAGTGGATATGTGTATGGTATCAGTTACTATGAATTGCAGTTTCAAAGGTATCATCTATGTACAGCATAGGTATCAGTTCAGTAATGCACAGTTCATCATCCAATCCATCATCAATGCAATCAATGCAAGCAAGTTGTTACACCCAAGCATGGCCTCCCTCACATCTGCAGTCCCTCCGGTCGGAATGAAAATGGACTCCGCGGCAGGTCCGGCGTCCGCGGGCTCAGTGCTTTTGCGAATAGTTCCTCGCCTGAGTCGGCGCTCGCTGTGCGCGCCATTCCTCCCATCGAGGCGAATCCCGTATGGTGTTCGACATTCTGTTGTGCCTGTACTGATTCCGGCGGGTAGTGCACCACCGTTCGTAGGGCCTCTGGCGCTGCGGGCGCAGGACTGCGCGTCGGTCGATGTATACTGTGGAAGGAGTTGAACGAGGACACGGCCACGTCGGGGGACTGGGGGGATAGTAGATGTCGTGCTGAGGCTGATCATAGCATTGTTAGCATCAGTCTGGCTCTGGTGTATGGTATATACGCACCCTCCTTCGGGGACAGTTCCCGCTCGCTCGTCTGCAGCTTCAGCCCTTTGAGCTTCTCACCCAGCTTGCCTCCACTGCTGGGTGATACCGGCGTCGCAGGCCCCATAGGGTAATGCGGATCCGGGTGACTCTGCCCGACCACCTTGGGCCCGTCAGGAGACAGCGACACGCCAAAGTTGGACTCGATCCACTCCTTCTCCTGCAGAGCCATGTGCAGCGCAATCCCCTCGGCGTTGTTCAGACATTCATCCCGGATCTCCTTTTCCAGCACCTGCAGCCGCTTCTTCGCCCATATCGTGTGTAGCACGCCCTTCTTGCCCGCCGAGCGACCATCAGCACCGAGCTCTGGGGGAAATATCGCCGGCAGCGGATTCAATTGCATGGGTTCGGGGTTCTTGGCGGACGGGGGTGCGTGAGCCGGGGGCTCGTATGACAGGGTGACGGTAGGAGGAATGGTAACGTGTGGCGGCAGTAGAAAGTACATTCGACGGGTGTTGTCGCTCGTCTTCTCATCGGCAGGGAGAACGGCGGTTTTACCCTCCCAGGCAACATGCCAGGAGCCTCCGGGGAAGGAGGAGGAGCGAGCTATAGCGTCGTCCTCCCATTCGATCATCATGATTTTGGTGCCATCGTTGGCTTTGCCCGCCTCGAACTCGAAGCGGGCCAGGGCGGTGATCGTGATGGGACCCGTGGAGAAGCGATGGGAGTCGAGGGCAGCAAAGTCACTGTTTGGGGTGAAAGGCGTAGGGAGCGAGTGAGCCATGGCAAGAGGGCGGTCAGACGGGATAGATAAGGGGGAAGAGAGAGAGAAGGGGGTTAAGAGGGAGAGGGAGAAAGAGACAGGAAGGAAGATCGAGGGGATTGGAATTCGGATATCAGGAAGAAGAGGAGATGGAGCAAGTAGCGCAAAACACTAGCAGATAAGATGGCCGAGGATGCATATGGAGGAAATAGAATAATAGAATAATTGGAGAGGCGCTGGAAAGGGTTGGGAGGAAACGGCGCGGCGCAGATCACGGGATAAGAGGGGATCACCGCATCAGGCAATTGGATGCATAACAACAATATTAATATTAATCAATATGATTATATTAGTTGGTCGGGAAGTTCAGTTTGAGTGGGGAAGATGTTAGATGAGTATCTTCCTCAAAAGCCAGTTGAGTGATGGTGTCGAGATGAGAAGATGGAGGAGAAAGAGAGAGGAAGAAGAGAAAGATAGAAGAAGAGGAGTAGGGTTGGAGAAAAAGAGAGTGAGAGGGGCATCCACGAGCACTTCTTCTTCTTCGGCTTCTTCTGCTCTTCTTCTTTTGCTGCTTCTTCTCTCGCCGCTTTCTAAATATAGCCTCTTGGCATCACACCGCATCGGTCAGCATCTTTCACTACTGTCTCAATCAGCTTCTTTCCAGTCTCTCCCTTACACTCTCACTCTCTCACTCAGTTCCAGAACCCCAAAGAATCCCCCCGCCCTACCATGGTTGGCTCCGTCAGGCGTCCCCTCTTCGGCCGAATTCCATGGTTCGGTAGCCCGTCAGTCAGCCTGCCAGAACACTGGATCCCATGGTTGATGAGCAACCAACGATGATGTCAACCTCACCAACTAAACAAAGGGAAACAATCGCAGGCATGAAAAGGACCTGTCTAGCACTACCCAACAAAATTGTTAGGATTTCATGTGCGGACACTGGCCTAGATGTAGTCCTTCATTGCCGCCGTGATGGTGGCACAGTGGTTGGTTATTTAGACGCCTATCACCAGCACCCGCTGAACCAACAGTGACTTCCACCCCATCCACTCGTCTCTGTCTTTCTTTCTTTTTTTTGTTTTTCTCTGTCTCCCTTCATGCCTTGTAAAACCATTCGTACCAAACCGTATCATACCCAAGCGCTGGATCACCACATGGGCGACAATACGCGGGGTCGAGTCACCCTTCCTTGGACAGCAGCTGTGGTTATTGCCCCATGACCCGCTCACCGAGTGATGAAGAATAGTCGTCATGCAGGGGAATTGCGCTTAAGGTTGTATAAGAACCTGACAGCCACGCAGCGTTGTTGCTATATTCATCACCACTGAGGCCACTCCGCGACATTGATTGGCTCACAGCCCAGCATCAAGGAGGGGAGCGTCGTCAATCCACTGCTGCAGCGAGCGGGAATCATGCATCCTCTGTCACAGGGGCGGCATAACCTAGTTAACCGCTGGAAATCTGGTTTAGTTAGGTAGACGACCAACTAACTGACTAAGTTCGGGTGCCAGATGGGTACCCCTCGTGAGGATGGGACGACTATGCAAGTATCAGTATCTGATTTGACAGGACACTTTCTGCCTATGTGAACAACGTACTAGTCTGGCTAAAGTCTGCAAAAGATGAGCGGAGAAGCTACTGGACTGGGCAATACTGGATGGTCTCGACCAGTCAAATCAAGCCTCCCAGGAACAGCTCCGAGGGGCAATTCGGACGGAGTGTGAGGGGCTTGGCTATGTCCACACACACTTTGCTCCATTGAACTCAACTTCTACCAGGTAGGTAGGAGACCGGTATTGAAGGAATATATAGCATGCGAGCAACAAGAGAGCCCATCTCTATCATCAACTTCATCTTGGATGCTCAACAATACATATATCCATCGCATCTGTTGCATCCAACACCGCCGTGCTCGTTACCAAAAATATCCCCATGAGGTCCCAGAAATAGCAATACATAAGCACCGAGCAGGGTACACCTGCACCAGGACTCCGAGGCCAATCAGATTGCTAAGGGCTAGGACTAGTCCAGTAGACCCTGGCGTTACCAGAAATAACTTCCCTGCTGTGATGAAAATAGAAATACCCCTCCAGACACTTGTTCACACGCGAGGATTCGATCCCGTCTCTCCGTTGGCGCTTAACAGACGGCCTGTGATTGATCAAGTCAAGGGAGTCTCCACAGCGACTAACCTACCATCTGTCTGGAATCCAGCGCCATCCTCCTAACAGGGAAGCCGACCAACTGATCGACCAGGAAGGAAGGGTTCAGAAGCGCCAGGATTGGGTCGAGTGGATGGAGGGACGGCATGACTAGGGAATGTCTACTTTAGCGCCGAGGGTAGTAATAGTGCCGGCCCCTCGTTACTTTTCTGGGAAGCATGCAACGATGGACTAACTGACTAATGACTGACTAGAAGGATTCCAGCGAGAGGATGGGTGATCCTCCGAGCGGCTGAGATCCCGGCGGCAAAATGACTGGGCGTTGAGATGTGATGAGATGGCGTCCAGGTGCATTAGGTTTGGTGATGGGATTGCCGTGTGTGCAAGTAAGCTGATGACATAACCGCTTAGTGACCAGAAGAATCTTGTTTTTCCAATCAGACCTGAGGATAGAGTGTGCAATACGCAGTACTGGAGAGGGAAACATCCAAAAATAGGACATTTCTCCCCTAACAACCAGCTACAGTACATACCTACACAGTAGTATCTACTAGTTAAGGGCATCCACACGTCATCTCCATCCCCCACACATCCCTCTTATACCACCTCACCAATCATATTAACAAACAGAAGAGGGGAAGATCCACTGCGGCCCCATCGGGCTTAGTGCCGGCGCTTAACTGCAGCGGCCACTTTATCTTTGTATCAAATCAATTGAAGGGGAGAAGACACTCTGCGGACGCGCCGGATGTGTGTGTCTGTGTCTGTGTCTGTCTATACGGTCTGTGCAATGCAGTGACTACTACTCACCTTCAGGTAGGGTGTAGCCATAAAAGAGAAGTCATGAGGCTGAAGTACACTTGACCTACAGTAACAGTGTACACCTACCAGGTATTCAGCTACTATCTCTCTACTATTGCCACAGCGAACAATCCCCTACCCTATAATCTTACCACCAACAGGGTACTATAATCCCACTAACCCGCGATCCAATCAATCTAGAAGCCCTTCGAACACCCCCTAGAACCAAAGTAATTAACTACCGACCCTATTACCCAGAAAGTAATCACCTCCGTCCATCACTGCCCCCATCCCATCCTCGTTTCCCCACTAGCACATCAAAAGCAGGCCAATCACCCCGACCCGCAATTCTTCAGCAACAAGATGAAACAAAGAGCGCGCCTTGTCATCCAATCATGGGTCGAGATGCACCCGTCCTAGATCACAGCAGGCTGTTCACATCGTTGTGATTCGTTGGGGATAAGCGATGGAATGCATACTAGAGTAAGTAACCTAGTAGTACTTGAGATTGATTACTGTGTTAGGATGGAGTGAGGGAGTGAGGGTAGGATGTAGGTAGGGTTGTTGTTGCCGCCAGGAGGATAGATGATGGGTTTGGTATGTATGGTATGGTATCGGTATGGTGGGTGGTGGTGCGTTACGTAGGGCTTGTTACGGTGGTAGTAACTGTGTATTTTATTTCTATGGCTGTGTCTGTCTGTCTGTGTGTTGGAAGCACAGTTCATTCTTTCTACATTGATCCTTGTGAAGTATCACTACTGTGATGGTGAAGGTATACAAAGTCTATCAACCTTTTATCTACTTGGAGTCACATCACACATCCACATCCACACCCTTCCCAACTCAATCACCTCCACTACTTACATACATACCACATAGTATAGTCAGTTACTAACATGACATCTATCCAACAATCCCTCTCTACAACACCACAATCTATAACTACAATCCCATCGCCCTCCAACACCATGACCTCAATCAACTACTACTTACCCCTCCAACTAATTCCACACCGCGCCTGTGCACTCACCAACCACCACCCTCACCGCGCCAAACCCTCCCTAGCCCAAAGCCTAAGTAACTCACTAACTCCCCGACCACTAAACCCAACTCCCACCCTAACCAACCCACACCAATCATCCCCGTTACCAGATCCCCGGGTACAAATCAACCCAACCAACCCAATAGCCCAATCCCGATAGACAAGGAGAAAAAAAAATTCAATGCGGCGCAGCACCGCGCATCTCAGCCTTTCCCTATCAGCTCGGACGGTGCGTAGATTTTAGTGGAGCTATCGCTTAGTATTTAGTGATTCCTGGTGGATAGGTTTACACGTGGTGGAATTGGAGGGGTTACTCCATTAGTTACTGGATGATTGAGATGGAGAAAGAAAAGAGGGGTTCGTTGGGTTAGTATTTTCGTTGTCTGTGCGTTGTATGTATGAGTGTATACATCATATCATATTCTGGGATATTGGTTTGGGATCTGGAGGTGCATTGAAATGAGGGGTTGGGCTCCATTGATCAATGTGAGGCTCTGGCCAGAAGCGCGACGAACTGGGTTGGTTTAGAACTGGAATAGAATATTGGAATTGAAATCGATTGATGTCAATGGTGGGGATCATAGTACTCCGTTGTGGTCGTGGTCGTGGTCGAGCCTCTGCTGGGCGTATATACCCTGCTTAGTATATTGCCAACGCATACACATTAATCAACCGTGCAAATACTAGTTTACCATCCTCTACTTGCTTACTAGCAATGCTACATGGCTTACTGATCGATCACATGAAGTAGTTGAAGTGAGGAAGAAAAATGAATTTCAAATCGCACTGCTTGCTCCGAACAAAACTGATAATAAAATGTCTCGCTTGCTTCTTCCCCCCGCCTCCTAACTCCTAACGCCGGACCCTGCGCTAGTACCATGACCATAGAGAAAAACAATAGAAAAGAAATCGTGAATCGAACTAAAACCCTGCTTAGGAATCTTCTTCTTCCTCCTCCTCCTGCTTGGTTTCGTTATGCTTTCTCCGCTTCCCCTTGGGCGGATCCTCAAGTTGCGTCCGCTTATACGTCACCGTGTGAGTGACAACATGACGCACGCTGACTCTCCCCACCGTTGCACTCCGGGGACCATCCCAGTAGCGCATCTTCCAATCGGCCGGGGAGTACGAGTAAGAGTACGGTGATAGGACGGGCGTCGTCGCACTGCGCGGCGTCTCCAGCGTAGGTGAATACCGCATTGGCGGCGGGATGCGCAAACGACGCAGACTCATCATATCACGACCGTGAGGTGCACTTCCATAGGGAGATGGAGGGGGTAATGTTGCTGTGGCTGGTCTGGTTGGTTCGGGGAAGCTGAAAGAACCACTGACTGCACTGGCTGGTTGAGATGTGGGGGTCTTGTTGGCCTTGTCCCAGACGAAGCGGGTGACGGTACCTCCGTTGCCATCCGGGGTGAAGACGGGCGTGAATGATTTGAGGAACTCGGTGTATGCAGCGGGAGGTGTGATAGGTGTTGAGAGACTCTCATCTTGTTGCTTTCCTGGAGCGCCTAGCCTCACTCCATTGTCTGGTTGCAGTTCCGAGGGGAACGTCATGTTCTTGGGCGTCCGCAACGGATGGAGGATTGGTTTGGCAGGCATTTTGACTGTAGATCTGAGGTGGTGTATGAGAAGATTGCACGAAGTAGACTGTTTATATATGACACGTCCACAGCAGATGACTGGTGAATCACAAGGTCGCGCCTGAGCTGGTCACGTTGTGCGTGGCAGTAGAAGGGAAGCGTGGTATAGTATAGTAGAGGCAGATGTAGGCAGCGGCAAGCCTGAGGCAGCAAGGGACTTGAAGGTAGGGCAGGTATCGTCCACCAGGATGACAGCAAGCACGAAGCTATATAGTAGGGACAGATGGAAGACCCTTCGGCTGCTCTAGCGCGCAAGGAGAAAAAGGAGAGAAAAAGTAGAGGGAGGGAAGTGGAGGAAGATTATTTATCTCGAGTTGACGCCGACGCAAAGGCAGGCGGATTTCCCGTACGGTACGGGTATTGCTGTCTGACACGGTAAAGTTACCAGACAGTAAGATACCGTGTGACACGCTAACCTCAAAGCAGGCTAAACGCTCAGCTCCTTTCAGCAACTCGGCGCCAAAGCCTCGCCTTCTCTCCAAAAGCACCGAGTCGGATGGTGGCGATCTTTGGCCGCCAGGAGCACGGCAGAGTTGAGGGTGTGTGGAGTGTCAGGATGCGGATGAGGGGATCGGGTAAGGCGCTTGCCGTGCCTGCTTGGCCGGCAGTGATCAATGTGAAGGAGGAATGAAGGAAAGTGAAGAGCTGCTGCTGTCTGGATGTATCCTGAACTGCGTCTACTTCCTTCTTCTTATACCTTTGCTCTAGGATATAGAATCGCTGGTCTGTCTGTCCACAGCGGGATTCCAACAGGCCAAATCCTCCAGGAGTTTCGCGCCTGCTTCTCGAGTCAAAGTCTCCGTTACCCTGTCAATGTTCCCAAACACAAATGCATCCTGCATATACAACATGCCCTTATCGCCGGGACGGCACTCGATTCTTGACTCCTCACGATCTCTCCGACTCAAAATGTGCGTTGGCCCCTCCTGGTTCGCTCAGCGTTAACGCGCAAGCCCACCTTCCGGCAAGAGGGCGGCTCGCCCATCCGCAACCCCAACTTCTGCACAAGCCATGGCTTCAGAACACCTATTGCGTGCTGTAGTTAGCGCTGCTTGTTGCATCCTTCAAGTCCATTGTTATTCTACCCTGGCAGCTGGGCCAATCTACCGATGCTGCTTGTCTCTCTACCTTATTTCGTCGGCACTTAATCTATCGGGCGGCTGCAAGTCATGCTGGTGTCTTCACGTCTCTTCACCCTTCTACGAATCAGCGGGCCCATCCGACTGGTGAAGGTCCTCGTTGCCATGGGATAGCGGGTTGCAGGCGCGGGGTTTGTGACTGATCTCGACCTGCCTGCAATGTTGCTACTACCACACCTTGGCGTTCCTGCGGCCATGTCACACCAGCACTTGCAGAACTTGGCTTGCCATCGATACGATCGGTTGGCTACGGGTATCTGATGCACATGGCTGCGTGTGAACCCCTCTTTATGCTCAGACGCTTTGTGCATCCAACGGCGCGGGATTGTAGTAACTGCATTGCAAGCCGGCCTAGAAACGGCACGATATCCAGTAGCCGACACGTTGATAGCTTGAGTTGGACTACTATCTTGGGTAACCAGAACGATGGAAGATCTGCTTCCAAGGACAGAGGGAGTCCTGCTGTTGGTTGCATGGGTAAAGGTACACTTAACTAGTCACTAACAACGCCAGAGCTTGGGCCCATAAATTTAGTCGGTGCAAAGTAACGCTGCAGAGGATCAGAGCACGGAAGCGCCATCACCATTGTCGGTTACGCCACAGCGTCTCTGTTTCTTGACTTCCGTGGGCTTTAGTGTCACACTCGAGTGCCCGCATGCTAAGATTGCAGAAAAGCATTCGCCTTGGGGTCGCTCAGACCGCAGTTGTCACCCACAGCGCTTACTTCATGTCCCGCAATGAGCAGGATTATCGACAAGTCGCCAAAGACTTACAGGGACATCCACACCATCCCATTCCCCTCATCCGCCATCGATCCATTGGAGGGGATGCGGATTCACCATTCACTATTGCCAGCCGGATGCTCCTCCACAGAACTCTCTCTAAGGGTCCACCACATCTGTGATGTAACGTTTACCAACCGCCAACATCCAGAAGTCAAGTCATAAGCTTATCACCTGCGCCGCCTCTCAGACCTACAACTCTCATCCTTATGTCCAACGCAGCATAATCTCTTTACTCCAAACCAACCACTATGGTAACTAATCGACCAGGACATGACAGGATTCCCAACCCATCACATGCACACCATCGTTGAGTGCTTTGGCTAGACCGTCAATGAGTGAGGACACGATGCCTCAACGCAAATGTCTCCTACCGCAAAGGAACTACCGCCATCTGATATCCTTCTTTCCACAAGCAATGAGCGCTTTAGAAATCAGAACAGTCACCCCCTGATGTGTTTTACTCGATGGTCGACCAGTACTAGACCGCTCACGGTTCTGGCTTACTACTATTCCATGCTCACAAGGTAAATCTAATAAGGCAACAGGCGAGACTGTACTACAACCCGGTTGATCATGTTCACTGTATGCAATGGAGCAATTCCAGTGGACGTTTTTGGTTTCCCGCACTCTCCAAACAATGAATACTGCTTTGCTTTGCCAAAAGGAAAGGTATGGTATACCACCTTGTCATACTGCAGCTAGTAGCTTTCCTCTACAATCAACTCGTGCACACTGACATAACAGGATAACTCGACTAAAGGACAGCAGTTCTGGATGAACCCACCCCTTCGAGATTTCAAGACCACACATCTACTCTTGACTTCCAAAATCTTGCTGAGACTATTCGTCGTACATCTCTGGGTAAAGACACTTGTTCATGAGCGATCTGGAGTCCAAAACATGTTTCAGTCCCCAATTTATTCGAACACGTTCAGGCCCGTAGACTGAATATCTCACCTTAAACCATAAATCAAATGAACGACACAGTAAGGTGCCTCGCCTGGAGATCTCATCTACCCACCCTCTCTCGACCCTTGACACCGACCTGCGTGTACTGCGCTGGAAGGCGAAGAAGAGAAGGAGAGAAAAAGAAGAGAATTACTCATTTGGTCTGATGTTTCGAGCATTGTACGTCTAACCTCTTAGGCCATTGAACTATGACTTATGTGATATGTGTATCTTCTATTATCTTATCTACAAGAGTATGTCTTGATAATCAACATCGTAACCCTACACCTCTATCCAAGTCATGCCGGCCAGCTAGACTCTGTAGCTGGTCTTCGGAGAGTACACCATCTAGAACACAACCTATAGATCCTGTCAATAATCTAAATGGTCAGGTGAGGTATTCACCAGGATACATCACTTACCAAAACTATCCTCACGACCATACCTCCATTCTCGGACTAGATTTCTCAGTTCTCTTGTTGATATAGTATGTTGACTTTGGAGGCCCTGAGCAAAATCATCACCGATTGTATCAATAGCTTCGATCCGCTGAAACATCTCCACAGTACGGCCATAACCCCCCAGCCAGGCATCTCGAATGATACTATCAAGCATAGGCCTGCCGGTGTGTATACTCGGCAAGACTAACGTACCAGTACTGTCAATAGACAGTTGAGGCTTGGCACCATGTTCCATTTGATACATCAGCGACGCTATAGCGAACATATCTGTCTTTTCAGATAACGTCGGCGAGGGACCGTTTATCGGAGAAACATCATTTGGCGCACCAATAGGGCTGGAAGCGCCAAGGTTAGAGAGAATCACACGGTCGTGGTCATCTAGAGAAATACTGTCCATCCGGACATCTGCGTGCACGATGCCAAGGCTGTGGAGATGGCATAGTGCATCAGTGAGATCGCGGTACCAGCGAATCCGTTGGCGTTGAGGGGGGAGATTATCCTCGGATAGGGGGTGGTATTTGCGGAGGTAGATACCCTCTGGATAGTGGGTATCTATTGGTTCTATGATGTTGGGGTGTGGTTGTTTTTGAAGTAGTTGTAAGACAGTTCGTTCGTTCTGTAATTGGTTGATTTGGGAGAGGGTGTTTGAGGCGTAGTGTCGTTGTGGGCGCTCCGAGGCATTATGTCCAGGTGGTACATATATTAAGGGTGTTTTGAGGACTATGTGATCATTCACTTTGTAGGTTTGAGAACAAGGTCCAGTTTCTATGACTTCCAAGTCGTGTTGAGGGTGCAATTCTAAGGGGTAGGTGTCGCACCGCGATGTTGAGGTATCATCACCAGCTGGATTGCTAGCCGCCTCAAGATCGTCAGGCTTTCTGGATTGGGGCGGACTATATCCAATAGATAGCGGGAATATATGAGATAAAAAGCCGAATGCGCGATAACCAAGATAGCCGAAGTAGCGCAAAGCTGTCAATACTGGCGAACAAAATCGCCAAAGATATGAGAGCATATTGCAAGCGTCATTGAGGAAAATAGTGAAAGGTATTTTTGATTGCACTGAGCTTGAAGCTCTCAGGTATGGGAGGAGGGTATTCAAATGAGTATAATGGTCAAGGCATCTTGGCATGAAATGATAGATACCAGAGCCAGCGCATCAGGGGGATGGCGATCCCCAACAAGTGCGAGTCACGTGCAAGATATATGCTAGTCGGTTATTTTTGCTTCTTGGGTCTGTTCGACAACCGAGAAACTTATGACTGTCGAATGAGCGTGTAGTGGGCTCATGCTTTGAAGTCTATGAATTTGTAAACAGCAGAAACTGTCCAAAGTGATGGTTAGCTCATGAAATGACAGAGAAGCATATTGCTTATACTCGAGGTTTGAGGCAAAATTTACTCAATATCAGGCTTATGACTGAATCATCTGGGGTATAAGGAGTGACAATTTTTGTTTTCGAACCAAGACATATGATCTGATCATACAACTAACCAATCCCAAATAAAGCAAGATACAATGTATCAGCAACACATGCAATCAATAAATCATACCAAACATGAGGACATCAACATATATGGGTTTGTAATATTTGTCATGCGAAAACAACCAAACTCCTGCTCCAATGCGCCGGCCAAGGGGTATGGGATATGACTGTCTGCGCCGTGCGGTTATTCCCGCTCCACCTCATGAGAAAAGACATGGCATGTCATCGCTCCGGCCTGCGGATACGAGACAGCCGGGTATATCGTAGCGAAAGAATAGAATAGAGAGCCGAAAGTTCTGGTCCGAACCAATAGTGTCTATAGGGACTGGACTTTTGCCGGAAAAGTGAGAAAACAGAATTGCAAGCAGGCAGAAGGGCCTCCTCAGGAAGAACCCCAGGACGATGTCCAGTCGCGTTGCCTGATCGAATCGTTCGTGCTTGTCGCCCTGGCAGGACCAGATACGCGAATCTCCAGGTTGGTTATGCAATATCCAAGCCAGCTTGTATGATCGATCCCTTCAAGGGATGTTAACAGATGTCGCAAAAAATGCAATCAAGGAAATAAAAGCTTGCTGAGATTAGAGAAGAAGGTAGTCCCAGCCATTCTGCTGCATGATCTCGCGCCAGTGTAAGAATGGCTTCTTCATCTCCTTCGCTCCCCACGGCACGAGGCTCTCCTTAGGAGACTCAGAGCCCTCGGCCTTCACAGGCGCGTCAGAGGATGAGGAGGCGGACGAGGACCGTCGCTCTTCCGGGGCAGAAGCAGATTCGACAGGTTCGACGGTCTCAACCGGCTCAATGGGTTCGATGGACTCATCAGACACACGCCATACCTCCTTCAGGACGCGGTACATACGGCCAAAGCTACCGAGTTCGGCGTGCTCGCCAAGAGCAGCAGCTCGATCGGCGAGAACGGTGCGGAAGTGGCTATCTGGTGCTGAGTATGCTCCGGCGATCAGGATCGGCCAAACGAGCGAGCGGTCGAAGCCTTCGGGGCCCGAAGGGATGACATAGAGAACATTGGCAACAGCGGCGACAAGATTGACGGTGCTCGGTTGGTTTCGGTCAAACCCGGGAACCAGACTACACAAGTAGATCCTTGCGGCGAGGCGGAAAGCGGCCGTAATGTTCTTGGTGAGGATCTCGGGAGAAAAGGCTCCGTTCGGTAGGAATGGGCTTTCGAGCGTCTGATTCACGGGTTCGGTGAACTCCAGTTGCTGTCCCAGAGCTGAGACATGCGAACACACGCCCATCTCATCGATTCTGCCGTCTCTCTTGAGTGCGTCCAGACAGGTGATCTCCGAAATCAGGTACATGACACGGTCGTCGCAGCCCATGAGCTCGCGGAGCCCCAGAGACGAGCCGCTGAGGTGCTTGGCACGGTAGGTGTGTGCGAATTCCGGAGTCTTGCCGTGCATGGTCGATCCTAGAATGTCAATCCACGATGCCAGAGTCATAGTGAAGGGGGGTAGCATGTACGGGTTCCCGCAGGCGGGAACTGCCGTCGGAAGCCCAAGCCGATGCACAAGGTTGGAGGCAGCCTGGAAGTGCTCGAACCACGGAATATCCGGTAGGTAATCATCGGCCGGTCCCACAGAGCAGTGGAAGAAGATCATGGCTAGCGTCGCATCCAGGATCTCCTCGTGGTTGGTGTCTTCGCCCAATGCCAAGCACAATTGCGAAACAGCCTCGAAGCGATTGCGCATGATGTCGTGATCGATCTGTTCCCCAACGAGTCCTTCGGTAGTCTTGAGGTGGATGGCAGCAACACTCAGACAGCAGTGGAGGTAGCACTTGTTCGTCTCCAAAGCTTGTAGGATGGCCTGGGCTCGGAGGTGTCCACGCTGGTGTGCCTCCAAGACGGGAAAGATGATGCGCAAGACATTGTGAATGAAGTGGTCGAGAAGTGGCCGGTCATGGTCGCTAACGGGGATATTGGACTGAAGCATGGCGTACGTCTGGCCAATACTCTGTTCACACAGCGCCGGGTCGATCCCAGGCAGGGCAGGCACTTGAGCGAAGTACTCGTCGTGGAACCAGTCTTCACTGGGGAAAGTCGGTAGCGGGGCATTCAACTGCGGCGGCGCAAAGGTGCTGAAGGTCGAGCTGCATGAATCGTGGCGCAAGGGGACATCATTGACAAAGGTATGTCTTTCCGTCTTCACATCGATCTCATAGGGGTGGGTCGGGGCATAGATGGGTTGGTTCATGGCCGGAGTGGGAAGGTGTGAAGCGAAGATATCGTACTGCTCTGGAAAGGCAGGGCGACCGAATTCGTATTCCGGAGAAGTTGGGGAAGGGACAGCCATGCTGCGAGTACGAGCGGCGGTATCTGGGTGCAGCGCAATAGCCTGTTAGAGGGGGGACGATGATATTTCAATAACCATTACATACCTGTCAGAGCCCCATTGCGCTCATGCATCTTAGTCTGCTTGATCTTGTTCTTGATGCGTTCTTTCTGGATCCTCCGTTGCTCTGCGTTTCCCCACCAGATAGGGCGTTTGTATTCGCATTTCACACATAGGTTTACACAGGCTCCGCAGGAGGGATGCTTCTCATCACACTTCTTTCGGCGCAGGCGGCATGTGAAGCAACCTAATTCAGGGGACAAGTGTTGGTTAGATCCACTAGGGGCCAAGTACCCGTCAATGATATAACATACCAGAGCGAGATCGCTTGTGCAACTTGAGCTGGTTCTTGTCCGTAGACCCCGTGGAAGTACCCTCACTGGCTGACGGCGACTGCGAACACTCTTCGGACTTGACTGGCGAGATCCGGACGGGAGTCGACCTCTTCTTTGCTGCGGCAGGCATTTTGATGTCGAAATATGATATCGTACTAAGCAGGGATATAAAAAACACCGATGGATATGCAGGATAAGGTCGTCGAAAGAGACAGGACACAGTCGTCTGGCGAGCTGATGATTGGGTATCAGGAGTATTAAGGAGGGGGCAAAGCTGAACCGGCAGCCTTTGCTATCTAATTAAGTAGAAGAAGAGAACGAAAGGCGCGGTGGCGGAGGATGAGGCGGGAGGGAGATAACAACGCTTGGTGACAGTGATTCCAGATTCGAGCATGACAGCGGGGATTGAAGAAGCTTTAAAACGTGGGTTGAGCTCTGACAGATAGAGCATGATGTTTCTATTTTAGATCCTGGCCGACAGCCGAGTGCAGGTCGAACAGGATCGGGGAAATTGTGGTGGTGGGAAAGCCGGCGAGGGATTGGCGGCGGGGGGAGGGCAAGAGAGCAATCCCTGAGAGGAAGTGGGGATCCCTTCATGCACGGACAAGGAACTGCTAGTCAGCCTGGGCTAATTTTGGAGATTTGCGAGCGCATTTTACACTTTTTGTTCTCGCGCTCTTCAACCTGGCGCGTATGCAGCCCATCCGTGCCACTGATTGGATACGGCCGGGAGAGAGCACTGTGCGGCTGGGGAATTGATTGGCATGGAAGCTATCGCAATTGCCTGCCCAAAGACCAATCTCGCACGGGGCAGATCGGTGGACGGGTTGAGATTCATTGGCCTTCTCTGTTTCTTTTTTTGGTCCCTCTATCGCGATATCTGCCTCTAGAGGGATCATCTGTACTACGATCGTCCAGTCAATCCTGGTGACCCAAGGATTCGAGTACCACCTCGGAGTGCTGCACTCGGGTGCTACAGTATTTCTGCAATGCTGCAGAAAGGCCTCACTCGTGGCTACTGAGATAATGGTAACTGAGCAAGTGGTACCCGTCGCGCAATCCGGGAGGTGGGAATGATAACCAAGTAACCCCGTCGGCCAATCGCAGGCCTTAGGCACGCAAGCAATGCATGATGGATGTACTCGGTCGTGGTACTACTTCGTAGTGGGAGTGACTTTCACCCGATCTGGAAAATGCATAATCAGTATCCACCATGTTAGTAGGTACGCTGCTGGAGAAGGATGACTACATGGAGGAGGGGAGTACAACCGTTGAGGAGAGTGGGGGAAAGAGAGCAAAATGCCAGGCACATTGCCAACCCAACCGGCTAATGCGGACTGGCAGGAGGTGCTCGAGGAAAGTGGGATTCCAACCCTGTCTGGTGAACAAGGGTCTTGTGCCTTCAGTGCCAATCAGTGTGCCGGGCGGCAAGTGGGTGGTGGTGAGCTCGTCGAGAGTCAAATGCGATGCGGGGATTCAGTCGCAAGTGGCAGTCCAGCACCTACAGTAGTAAACAGTAGCTAATTTAGTGCGGATGAGCCAAGCTTCCCTTACTGGCCGGGGATTGGCCGCCCCCGACATGGTTGCTTGCAGAGCGGGAAACCCGCAGCCAACCGGGCTGCAGTGGGTCGGGCCTGAAGTGCCCCGTGCAACCAGTGCCAACCAGTGGTATCCCTCTGCCAAGATGTGACCAGATGCCGCTAACCTCGCGATTCAGGCCAAGACCCTGCTTGACTGGATGTGGTTGGCTGTCTGCAATGGGTTTTTGTTATTATTGTTCATTTTAACCGCCCAGGAGAGGCACTCCCCTCAATTCCCAGCGCTAAATGAAAGACTATTCTTATCTTCCACTCTTCTGTCGGATTATCCACAACCAGCTCGGCCATAATTAGCTTGTGGTCGGAA